GGGTGTCGGTGCCAGGGTGGGCGCCCCGCCCTTGCCAGCAGACCCCAGCCCCTCCCCGGGCCGTACCTCGGCCATTCTCTGGTCCTCCTCCACCGGGACGAACTTGTCGTGCATGCCATGGACCAGCAGCACGGGCACTGCCAGCTCGGCGTGGTAAACCTCATCCCCCTCGGGCCAGTACTGCCCGCTCATCATGGCGCGCAGCACGAAGGAGGAGACGTTGAAGGCGTTGCCCTCCTTCAGCAGCTGCTTCTCTTTGGCACCTTGGCGAGCGAATCCAGCCCTGGGGAGAGAAGCAGGAGGGTTAACCCAGCACAGGAGGGTGGTCAGGGGGGGCAGGTTGGCTGAGGATGACCCTCCCTGGCAGCGTGGTGGTGCCCGGGTGGCCGCTCACTTGAGGAAGCTCCAGGCCAGGCAGGGGGACAGGCAGTGCAGCACGCAGGTGGGCATGTTGAAGATGGAGCAGAGGCTGGGCTCCAGCGCCGTCGGGCCCCCGCCGTTGATCATGATCACTTTATGGACCAGGTCTGGGTACTCGTGGGCCAGGAAGGTGCAGAAGGACACCCTGCAGGGACAGAGAGATGTGGGGGCTGTGTTCCGACCCCGTGGCACTGGAGGGTTGGTTACAGGATCACAGAATGAGGTGGGTGGAAGGGACCTTTAAAGCCCATCTTGTTGCTCAGAGCCCTGGCCAAGCTCACCTGGAAGGGTTCCAGGGATGGGGCAACCTGGGCCAGGGGCTCAGTGTAACAAATTCCTTCTGTCTCTCTAATCTAAATCTCCCTCCTTTACTTTAAAACCATCCCTTCTTGTCCTGTCCCCACAGGCCCTGCTCAAAAGTCTGTCCCCAGCTTTCTGACAGGCCCCTTGAAGTCCTGGCAGGCCCCCAGAAGGTCTCCCCAGAGCCTTCTCCTCTCCAGGCTGAACAACCCCAACTCTCTCCTGCTGGCCTCCCAGCAGAGGGGTTCCAGCCCTCCAATTCTGCATCCCAAGGCAGATCTCAAGGATCCACGGCTGGACTTCAGGCTACACCCCCTCATTTAACCCATGCTCCCCCTTTCTGAGGCAGAACAGCCCCAGTCAAACCCCACAGAGAAGGGACAGAGAGCTGAGCTAAGAGTTTCACTCCTCCACAAACCCAAGCAGGGTGCTGAGACCCACTTGGGTGCCTGCCAGCCTGGACCAGCCTTGTCCTTCTGATCTAATCCTGCCCAGCTTGGAGCCCATCTCTGGCTCCCTCTCCTCCCAGCCCTGCTCTCTGCACTGCTTAGTCTCCATCTAATTGACTTTCTTGGGCTTACTCTATTTATAGGCTGAGCTCTGCCAGCTTCCCTACTGGAGGAGAGGCTCCAGGATTAGCTGGACCCAGGGACAGGCACCAAGAGGATGCAGGAGATCACAGCTGAGGGATAAACCCAGAATGGGAACCCTCATACCCCTCTTCTGCCTTCTCAGCCCCTAGAGTGCTGGAGTGTGGCCAGAGAAGGGCAACAAAGCTGGGGAAGGGTCTAGAGCCCAAGTGTGGGGAGGAGCAGCTGAGGGAGCTGGGGGTGCTGAGCCTGGAGCAAAGGAGGCTCAGGGGAGACCTTCTGGCTCTGCACAGCTCCTGACAGGAGCCTGGAGCCAGGGGGGGGTTGGGCTCTGCTCCCA